AACGTGCGCTTGATAAGCACTGATATGTTCCTGAGCCATATGTGGATCAGGGGGCATATGAAACTTCCAACGCAAATTATTCGACTGGACGTAACGGAACTATACAGTTTCTGCACTGGACGTGCTGGTACGATAATAAAGTAAAGAAAACCGACAGGACATGCGAAAAAATATTTTTATTTTATGCAGAAATCACAAACTATTATATATGGACCATATGTGTTTCAGGTAGAAGTACCCTACATCCGTCTTTTTTTTTTAATTATTATTATTACTAAAGCTATCCTATGACTACAAAAAAAAAATTATTCAAAAAACCCTGTTGGACTTGTCGGTCAATTTTGCATTTTTGTATTGGGACAGGGAACGTGTTAAAATATGAATACATGAACATTAGTAATTCATTAATTAAAGGAAGGAAAATTAAAACTTAGATAAGGCTTGTCGTTGGCTCACAAAATATGAAAAATTACATCCATATGCCCGCAGGCTCATTATAGTAAATCAATAAGTAATGATTTGAAATGAACATGAACTTAAGTTCCAAAACAAAAATACAAAGTTCACCCCTCTATGCATTATCGTTTGGGTCTATTATAATATGATATACATACCTAAAGTGTTGGCAGAATTCAGATTTAGTTTTTTGGTTTTTTTCCGAAAATACTCGATGGTTGCGGCATGGGTTTTGGCTTGTATGATATAATATAGATATATGTCGAAGTTCACGAAGTGCAGAGTATAATTAACTCTTCAAATGAGTTTTATTTCCAAAAAAAATTGCTCAAAAATATTAGATCTTAAATGGAACAAATCATTTATTGAGTATATACAAAAACGTGAACATTTTATTTTTCTTTCAGCTTTTTAAATTCTACTTTTCAGTTTTTTTGGATGAAAAATTCTTACTTTTCAGTGATTAAGAAAAGTATACTGAAAATTACGAAATATATGAAAATATTCAAGTAGGTACAAAAACCAAATATTAAAATTATAATTGATGACTTGAACCAATATTATTTTTAGCACTTTTCCAAAAACTTTTTGAAAAAAAGTGCTTATTAGTTTCACTCTGTCCGTCCGTCCGTGGACACTTTTTTTGTTTACAAAACTTCTACATCCTTAAAGATAGAAAGCTGCTATCTTTATATTGCTAGAAATTTATTTCCGTGGAACAAAATTTTTACTCTCTAGAAGTTATACCCCATAAAAACCCTAAAAATGGAGTTTTTTAACTATTTGTTGCAATTAAACCATAAGCATTTTTGAAATTTTGCAAACCCATAGAGGCAGCGGCTTGCTTCCTTTAGCGCGGTATACTATAGTTCAACTTTAGAAAAACAAAATGGCCGTTCAAATTAACCGTTATCTAAAGTCCTTTTTTTCAAATTTTTGATGTCGTTTTTCTTCTAGACCCCAGCCTGTAGAAGCTTGAAATTCTAGGGGCTTTTAGGCATTAGTAAATAGTTTATTTCTTTAGAACAAAATTTTTTTCCATCTCTACCCCCTCTCAAGTTATCGCCTCTGATATTTGTAAAATTTGAATTTTTGACGCCTTATATTTCCGAAACCGCAAGCTTTTTCAAATTTCTATAAACGCAAAAACCTAACGGTAAATTCCATGACATTAAAAGATATAACTATTTTTCTTAACTCACACAATTAAACCTTAAAATCGAGCATTATGTTAGCCCCACTTTATATTAATTTTTGCTTTATTTGAAAGACTGCATAAATCATTCATCCTAAACATATGCAATCCTAGAAATAGTTTTGTATATGAATGAAAGGAATTTTAATAGTGTGATAGGTATACATAGACTGTATTTAAAAGCAGAAGTGCTACAATACAAACCATTGGTTTGATCCAACTTTATTAAAAAACTGAAAGAAGAAATTTCTTTTAAAAAATTCTACAAAAATTTAAAATTTTTGAAAATCTTGAAATCATATTATGCAGTCCATGTGATATGATTTTCAACATTTTTTCTTTCAAAAGCACCCTATGTTTTTATACCCGTACGAACATATATTCGAAGGGTATACTAAATTTGCCTTAACGTTCGTAACGCTAAGAAATAATGCTCTGAGATAAAGACTCAAGTGTATGCCTTTGATCAGCTTCGAATTCTGAGTTGATTTAGCTTTGTCTGTCCGTCTGTCCGTCCGTCCGTCCGTTCCAACGATAGCTCAAAAACTAATTAAGATAAATTCACCAAAGTTTCACAAATGAATTATCGTAGTGCCAGAACCCTATTTAAATTGGACATGATCGGGGTACCGGTTCGAGTAGCTACTATATAGCTTCAAAATTTATTTGGCTATATCTCAGAAACTATTAAAGATGTGGTATTAAAATTTCACACAAGTGAATATATTAGCTGGGCCATTGTGTTTGATAAAAGTCGTTGAAATTACTTGGCTCCTTCTGGTACCTGCCATACAACATCAAAAGTTATTGGGCTATATCTCAGAAACTATAGAAGCTATGGTATTGAAAGGAACGAACTTTATGTAATTATACTGTTATTTTAGCAGACATTCCTTTTCAATATTCGGTTATGCTGCGCCGCTGTAAGAAATGCCAGCCGCAACTTTTTCGAATTTGAATGTTTATGGTTTCTTTAAAATAGTTTCTTGAGGGGTTATAACTTTTAAAGGAAGAGGAGAGATAGCTAGAACTTTTTTTCAACGTAAGTAAATTTCTAATAAAAATCGATTTATATATTACGAAATTACAGTTTTCTTTCTTCATGGTTTTTCTCTGAGCGTTGAGTGTCGGACACCTTGTATAAAAATATATCAGAATTTAGCAGAAAATATACGTACATAAATTTTTAATATTTTAAGTTTTTAATTTTCGTTGCTATATTAATGTTACACAAATGTGTTTTGGCACAATATATGTATCCTTTTTAGTTACGGCATTTTACAGCAAAGGAAATGTAAAGGAAATGAGATAACCGATTCAAACATAATTATAATTTTTTAACTATTAGATTGTTATCAAAACTAAAGAAAATATTGGAAATTATCATTCTTGCAAATTTATTGTATTATTACATAATATTTGGTTTAGAAATATTTTGTAAAGAAAATAAAACATTGATAGTATATTTTGTTATTTCTTAAATTTCTTGATTTATGAGTGTCGATATATTTTGAAATTTAAAATTTTCTTTCGCGAGAATTTAAAGTTTTTGAAAAATTTTCCAAAAGTTATTCGTAAAATAAATAAAAATTGCAATGCTCCAACATTTTTTTTTGGAAAAACTTTGTTCTTCCTGAAAATTTTGAGTATCTTTTTTAGTATCATGTGTAGTTCATAGATGTCTGATCACGATTAAAAAATCAAGAAATCTAAATGAATGGTTCGGATCCTAGAAAATATATACGGAGTGAGCTATTATAGATGATTATATACATCTTTACACAATAGATGTCGCAATGGTGATATAAAAGAAAATAAGGTATTATTCTCAACTTTTAATACTTGTTAATAATTTATGAATGCTTATGTATTATAGTATAAGCTGTCATACTGCAGTGCTATTTACTAATAAGCATTTTTTACTACTTCAAAAAATTGTGAATAATAATATTAAATTTAATAAAATACAAACAGTGATATTTCGTAATTAGTGTTGAGTGTGAAATTAATATAGGCAATTCGAATAAAATTTGGCAAACATTAGCTTATTTTCGAATATAAATTTAAAAATTTGTATCCAGTGAACATAAAAATTTGTATCCGTGTTTTTATTTTAAATGCTTTCATTTGAGCACACGTTGCCCACGGCCACTCATCTCAAACATCTAGAAATGCAATTAGATCTCTAGATGACATACTTCCGCGGAATTAAAATATAATTTTGTCATAGTATATGACGAAATTGCACATGAAATTATAAGTCTACTACCTAGATGCGCTCGTTAGCACAGGCAAAACTGTTCTCATTTCACTTATTTTCGCAACCACACCATTCACGAAATAATATTGCACTAACAATCGCATCGTCTGGAAAATTGACCAGCTACACCACAATTAACGGTCGCTTAAAGTATAACACATATTTCGGATCGTCAATTCCATAAATCGTAATATGTATAGGAATTACTCGTAGTTGTGAAAACTAACATGTGTGTAGAACTACAACATACGCATGTTCACAGTTTCACAAAAATGTTGCTTGATATTGAGACGAGGAAAATGTGACCAATAATTCATACAATTTATTACATTGCCAACAAATTCCTGTAATATCGCCGGAACAAGTGGTGAATTGATTCCCAAAGTTTTCCCAAAAATTGCAAAGTTTTCTCATAATTTCAAAAACCATCAGTACTTAGAAATTGTGCCAGGCTTTCTCTTAAAAAACTTAAGAACTTTCTCTTAATTTAAACTTTCTCTTAATTATGAACAATATCATCGAAGCTACAATATTAGTTGGAGAAAACAAAACTTAAAGAAAAAAATGTTCTGTTGCCGCATATCATTACGATTCCGACCGGTATACCCTTTAAATTTATACGATTGCCTTCAACCATCAAGAAAACAAAGAGAGAATCGGTACAGATATGCTGACTAAATTTGGGATTTGGCAGGCGAGTTTGACTTATTCCTAGGTAGGAAAGCTTTTGGATTTATTGCTAAACGCGTCTAAAGGATTTTTCTTTAACAATTTAAAGTATTCCAACTTTTTTTTTGGATTTTTGAAAATTTAAGCTATTCTCATTTTTTTAAACCTGTGCACTATTACTGTATTGATTTTAAGCTTTCTAAATAATAACATATTTTTGTTTTATGTTTAAGTTTCAATTTTAAGAATTTAAATGAACATTAAATGAATTTAAATGAAACTTAAGAATGAATGAAAGTTAATTAAATTTAACTATATTGTAATAAGTAATCTTTGAATTTTTGTTGGAAGCGTGACAACGCACGCAGCGTACAGTTAATCATTATCTGCCTATATTGAACTCAAAAAAAAAATTTTTTTTAACGAACTCAAATATTTTATTTTTATATTTATAAAATAATTCCATATTTACATTGATAACAAGGAGAAATTTATAAAATTGTTTTTTTTTATTTATATTAAGATTTTTTCCTGGTTTTTTTTTTTAGTGAAAGTATATGCAAATCATCATCCCAAAATAAAGTATTCCTATACTGAAGTGATATTTGCAACATGAGCTTTTATCAGGATATTGCATAGCTGCAGGCTTCTCACCTATAATGAGAAATAATAAGATTTTTTTTTTAAATACTAAATAAAATTTTTTTCTTAATTTAAAGTTACAACAATACTTTCTAATATTCGTAGAATCAATTTCCAAAAAAGCCTAAACGAATGACAGTAGAACCGAAACACATTTTTTAACACGATATATATAGACAATTAGAGCACAACAATTACTATATATATGTGACGAATTTATTCGTTTTACGTAAGCTCGACGATAAATTACTTTGATTTTTCTTCTGAAAGTTGAATTCTAACTCCTAGGATAATTTTTTTCAATTGCCGTGTGATAAAATAAAACTTCACAGAAGCTTCAAATATACTTGTCCCAATGCTAAGAGAATGCTTGTCCCAACGTGAAAGCGCGGGTTGTTTTAAGTCGAAATATCTTTTTTTTGAGAAGAAATAACAAAACAAAACTATATCTATCATAAAGCAGCTAAAACTCTGAAGTAATATTTCAAATATCTATTAAATATAAAAATATTTTTATTCATAATTATTTTGAATTCTTAAAATACATGTACAAATAGCGGAAAAACTGCAAGCACAACCTTCAACATTTTATGGGATACCGAAAACATTTGGTTATTTTTAAGTGGAGAGCTTTTTTCTTATAAGGGAAAATAATTCAAGATAAGGAAGATAATTCAAGGCAAGTAATTATAGTTTCAAGTTGAAAAAATAATTAATGAAAGAATCACAATATTGATATATGTAATTAATAAAAAAAATATGAAAAGGAAATTTCAAATTGATATCTAAAATACAGTTAAATATTATTTTAACAATACAAATTTTTACCAATTCTAATTTTTTTAAAAACGCCATCATTTATTTTTACTACCGGATTTGAATATTTTTCTATTTTTGAAATAAATAGTATCTTAGTAAATGACTCAAAAATTCCGATTGAATAGCAGGTGATTGTGTAAATTTTTGTCCGTTGCGTAACATTTACTCTTATAATAAATATTACTCTTATATTTCCAGTCTTGTAGAACACTGAAAGACCCTAATGAGATCTTTATAAGAGCCAAAGAGCGTAATTACTAGAGTTATTAATTCTTGTGATGAGAGTTAAGCTCCCATTAAAAGAGTTTTTAAAGCATATAACTCTCATATGTACTAGTTTTGGTATACGAAAACTCTCATAAACCATTTAAAATAGTGTTACAAGAAAGAGAAAGCAATAAATTGTAGAATAAATATATCGGTCTTACTTTGAATTTTATAAAATATATATCTATTCCACTCTTATAATTATTTTTTTAACAAAAACGAAACAAAATATATGTACATATGTTTACGTATATGATATCTAATCAATAAATATTTGTATTCAAATACTTAATATCATAAAATTATAAATATGGGAAATTAAAATAATTTTTTTGCCATGATTGTAAATCAAAAAGTTGCTGGCATTAAAATTTTATTGATAAAAGTTGATATTGTACTTCGAAAAAAAAAAAAAAAATTGTATAAATATTTTTTAACCCAATGATATCTTATTTCCTTTTTTTTTACATAAATTTTAAAATTTAAGAATTGTTAAACAAAAAATAAATATACTAATGTGCATAAATTCCAACCAAAGCTTTAATATACTCAATAAAAACTATAATTTTGTATTTCATTAACTTTAATTTAATAATTTCTGTACAATAAATATTTTTCGGACTTCTTTCCAAAAAAAAGAATTCTCAGTCTCATTAGGGTTAAAATTTAGATAAGGAAAATTGACAATACTAAAATGGCCGTAGTTTTGTTATGAGGTAGCAGAATTTTTAACACTGTAAGTGTTAAAAATAAGAACCTTATGAGAGTTTCATAAAAATAAAAAAAAAAAAAAAAATTATGAGAGTATTGGAGTGTGGTATGCGAATTTTATGAGAGTTTAGGCCAATTTTATAGGGTATTACTCTGGAAAATTGTTACTTAGGTACATATTTATTACCGACCGCAATGTGTAAACAATAGTTAGGTTATGTGATGGCAACAAATTTTGCATATCGAGTTTTCGGTTGGAATGCACTTCTCCATTGTAGAGAAGTGTAAATAAACTAGTTTTAGCAACCTGTCGGTCTGTCGGTCTGTGTGTGCACGCGTGTGTCTCAAGTTCGGCTGAACCGATTTTGATGAAATTTTATATGTAAGTTAATTTCCACCATGGCACGGTTTGACCAACTTTTGGGATATATCACGTCTCAGGAACTGCACTTTTTAGCGGGTCTGTTTTACATTTTTGAGCATTTTAAAGAAAATATTCAACCGATTTACTTCAAATTTCATATATAAGCTCAGCTCGACCGTCCGCGAAACCTTCTAACTTTTGAAAAAAATTAAGTGTCAGCAACTAGACGTTTACTACGGACCAAACATACAAATTAATGTAGAAAGACCAAAATTATTAAAACAAAAAGTAAGTAACTGTAAAATTTTATGTATAATTTAAAATAAAAGAGTCAATCTAGATTCAACCGTAAACGAGGAAGTTTTATTGTAGAATCATAGATAACTAGCGCAGAAATCGGTTCGTGTAATAATAAAAAAAAACTGCAACCGCGACTGTAAAAAATTTTGAAGTGTATGGGAATTACACGAAAAATGTAAATAAAAAAACAAAAAAAATTTAATTGTGTATAAGAATTACGCGATTAAAACAATTAACTACTAAAAATTAATTATTAATAAAATTTTTGATTTAACTATAAAAAACAAAAAAATAGTCTGTGAAATAATAAAATAAAATTACAAAAATAAAAATATTGAGTTCAAAATAGAATATCAATTCCAAAATACACCCAAAATAAAAAATATATAAAAAAAAATAAAAAATTGAACTATAAGTGAGAAAAAAAATACATAATACTATCAAAAAAAATTGTTTTTAATCAAAGAAATTCAACTAGCCCAACCCGTCCAGTAGCTGAAATCAGTAGATCAATTCCAGAGTCATAAACATCAATCAATAATTATAAAAAAAAAGTAAGATAGTTCTAATTCAATTAAACTTAGATTTTTAAACAACAATTATTATTTATGTATACTCCGATCGTATACAATTTTTTCAACAATTTGAGAGTGTTTATTGTAGATTATTCATAGAAAACTTGAAACAAAACTTGAAACAAAAACTATTATATTTGCAAGGAAAAAAAAAATAATAATAATAATTCTTTACTTAAAATTACATTTATAAAAACAAAAAAATTTTTTTTTGTACATTATAATGTAAAACACATGTACACTTATACCCAAAATATTCTCTTGCACATTCAAAAAAATAAATCCAATAATTATAAAATTTCTTTGTACTTTCACAAAACAAGTTGTAGGTATATTTTCTATATAAAAACGAGAAAAAAAATAGAGTTGACCTTATACTGTGTCAAAATACTGTGTGTGCCAAACTACTATTGAAGTTGTACGGCAGCTACCAGAAAGAGCCAAGAAATTTTAGCGAACACATCGGCCCTACTAATATATTCACTTAGCTGAAATTACAATATCACAGCTTTTATTGTTTCTGAGATATAGCCAAATAACTTTTGAAGTTGTACGGCAGGTACCAGAAGGGCCACGTAATTTCAATGACTTTTATGAGACACATTGGCCCTACTAACATGTTCGTTTGTGTGAAATTTCAATACCATAGCTTTAATAGTTTCTGAAATATAGTCAAATAACTTTTGAAGTTGTATGGCAGGTACCAGAAGGAGCCAAGTAATTCCAAGGGCTTTTATAAGACACATTGGCCCTACTAATATATTCGTTTGTGTGAAATTTCAATACCATAGCTTTAATAGTTTCTGAATTATAGTCAAATAACTTTTGAAGTTGTATGGCAGGTACCAGAAGGAGCCAAGTAATTTCAACAACTTTTATGAGACACATTGGTCTTACTAATATATTCGTTTGTGTGAAATTTCAATACCACAACTTTTATAGTTTCTGAGATATAGCCAAATAAATTTTGAAGTTGTATGGCAGCTACCCGAATCGGTACCCGCATCATGTCCAATTTAAATAGAGTTCTGGCACTTACTACAATAAATCATTTGTGAAAATTTGGTGAACTTAGCTCAATAAATTTTTGAGTTATCGTTGGGACGGAGGGGCGGACGGACAGACAAAGTTAAATCAACTCAGAATTTGACGCTGACCAAAAACATACACTTGAGTCTATATCTAACACCGTTATTTCTTAGCGTTACAAAAGGTAAGGCAAATTTAGTATACCCTTCGAACATACGTTCGTACGGGTATTAATATAAGTACGTACATTAATATTACATATTGCTTTTAATAAAAATATTGTTATTAAAATAAGAATAAAATAACGAATTAAATTTTTCGAATTTATCCAATAAATATTAAATATTATATAGTCGATTTGAAACACAAAAAAAAATTAGCATAAATTAAGCTTATTATAAAAAAAAAACATTTTTTTTAAACATTTAACATAAAATAAATAAAATTTAGCATAAATTTTTTTTTTTAGACAAACAGAAAATATTACTTTTGATATTTTACAGAAAAAATTACAATTTTAATATAACATTTAATATAACATTTTATATTACTCGTTTTAATATTACATTTGAATATAGTTATAAAATATTGACATACTTTCATTTCTTTTAGTAAACGATTCAATAATTTAATACTATTACAAATTCTTAATATTATAAACAATTCAGTATAATTTGTAATTGATAATTCAGTTTTGATTTAAAATATTAATTTTGAATTTGGAAATGGCAGAACAAAAAATTACCTTAATTTTAAACTTTATAGACAAGATCGTTCCTTTCGATGGAAATGACCAAAATTATCTCCCAGATAATTTAGGTTATATTATTAAAATAATTGGAGAAGCCAAAGCTTCACTGAGAAGACAAGGAAACCTAACAGACTGGGGGAATATTAAAAAAATTCTAATATCATATCATGGAAAAAAAAAATTTCGCCTGACCAAC